GAGTTGGTCATCATTCGCTAGTGAAGTCATCTTGGTGCTTCGTCGTATTGGTATGTTAGCATTTTCTTTTTTTCATATTGTTTTTTTTTCTTCTTTATTAACCGGCCTTTTTTATTTTTGTCATTGATTGTAATTATTTGATTAATCGCTAATTGATGCATTAATAGACCTCGCATAAGGTTGGATGGTGTTTACATATCTACGTGCCATTATTTGAGGTATGTAACCTAATTGTCATTGCACGTTTTCTTTTGCACCTTGCCCTATCTTATTCAGTTATTTAAAGACCTGGGGCAGCAGAGAACGCCTGGCATCAGCCGATTCACCTAATAACCTATTACCGATACCTTCGTTTCTACTCGGACGGTACATGTATATTATTATTGACAACTACAGAACCAATCAACGTAGTAAAATACTTTACACCTGAATACAAATCAAAAGGATTTATGAAAGGAACATGGGTATTGAATGATGATATGCTAACAATATCAGCTACCGATCATGAATTACCTAAATTTACATTTTGTTTAAGTTTCAATTTAAAATCAACTTCTATAGGAAAAAATAATAAATTGTCGTGGATTGGTAAGTATATTTCTGTAATTTGGATGTTAAAGTAATATTATTGGGAGATATATTAATTTTGTTGAATTTGAATAGTGTATTCCAGCATAAATAATCAAACAGATGAGTACACGGAAATAAATCTAAGAAATGAAAGAAACTATTTCTTCAGCAAGGTATAAACAGATGTTTAATTACCTCTTTCTATCTTTAGTCACATTTTTAATATGTACTTTATTATTTATTTAGGTAAAAAGCTATACTATTATATGGTGAACTTCTTTATATTATTTATATGAAATTTGAGAGATAGAAAGGCATATGAAAGATTGTTATCAGCTGTTGATGTCATATAAGTATTTAATTCTGACGTATAATCTTAGTTATCATGGTCCTTAGAATACAATCGATACTGTCTAATTCATACTACTCATTCATCAAGGATTTTTTCATACATTTAGATAACGTATACATTTAGGCCATAAAAGCAATTTTTTGTAATAATTAACCCAACTTTTTTTTGAAGTTTATTGTATAAGATGGTTTTTAGAGATAATTACATAGTTACATTGCTTGGATGTATGAAATCATATTATGCTTATAAAAAAAGTTTTTTAAAAAAGCTTAATAACTTATAGGTAATATAATTACTTTCAATACACTATATTTATAATAGTTTTAAATTAATGAGTTGAAAATTTTGGTTTTGGAAATTATATAAGATAGGGGTAATTTGACAAAGTTAAAATAACATTCTTAATATATAAATTTTTTTTATTTTTGTTTATACATAATTTATTTTTAGGTAAAATTAGTAATATAACATCTTGTTTTAAAGTGATATTATACATCATACGCAACGGCTTAATTTTAGAGAAATAGGGTAATTTGATCCAGTAATCAGAATTGAATAATTTTTATACATTTGTTTCTTCTTGATGGGACGAATCGAATGACCCAAATGACAAATGACTAGTCATTTGTCATTTCAAGGCCTAAATGACCTTAGGTCATTTAGCACATGTTAGTTAATATTCTAACATCTTTAAGCAATCAGAATTGGCTGCCAAGCAAAATTAAATTTTATAAAAATATAATCAACATCATAGCTATATATCAATTAATATTTATGCCTTAAGTAAAGTTGTTCGGGATAATAAATTTAGGGATTGGAACCGTTTAACCGTTCAAAAATTGCTCCATAATTCCGGGCGGAATTATGTTGGTAGTGAGCTGGAATTATTTTAATGCCGGCTAAATTAAATGGTTAAACGGTTAAACGATTAAGAAAAATTTTAGGCGGTTCCAATCCCTAAATAAATTGCATATGTTCTGAAATTTTTAGATAAATTGAATAACTTTTTATTAATTCACTTCCTCACCTTACATTTATATGAAAAAATTTCGTGTAAACGTAATATGCGAAAGTAAATTAATCTATTTACATGAAATTTTCAAAAAAATACACGCGATTTATTATCCCGAACAACTTAAGGCATAAATATTAATTGACTTAGTAAAATTTTAATTTTGATATATAGCAACAAAATTCGATAACTTTTTATAAATGACCTTAATGACCCAAATGACCCGGTCATTATTTGATAACTTGGGGTCATTTAAATTTTGATCAAATGACCAAGTCATTTACCATCCCTGCGATTATATGCTGCACAAAAATGATGGGGAATTTTGACGAAATGTAAACTTGGAAACACCGAGACGAATCAAATGGTATAAATTATTCATTGGATCACAAGATATTCTGATTCGTCAAATTACCCCCTTCGTCATTACCCCTTTTCATTTTATATAATCAGCCCTTTTCTAAATCAAACACAATAAATTTTGTTTAACTGAATTTGAAATTTTTAAATTTATTCTAAAAATTTGTTACTACGAACTCGTTTTCTATCAGTCTAAGATTTTGAAACGTCACAAACATTAGTCAATCAGAACGAAAGCCCTTTGGTAATACTGTATTCCTCCGAAAATAAGCGCCCTTTTTTTGCACTCGATGCTGATCGTGATTGTTGTAAAGCGGGCCAAAGTTGGTATAGTGTGGGCCAGGGGTGTTTATTTTCGGGGAGAAATACGGTATCGTTATTGATCACGTGTTTATATTCATATGAAGAGTTCGATTTATGGGCACGATCCAAATTAAGATGTTCGAACTGAGGGATACGCTAAATATTTGTAAATCTAAATTTGAAGATTACGTAATTGATTATGATTGGTCAATTTTTATATAATTAATTTTTATTGGTCAATAGATAATTTTTTATCTATTAACGTTAAACGCCAAATTTTCAGTACATGTAAGTGTTATAACTTTTTAAAATTATAGACCAAATAAAAATCTATTCTAACAGAATTGTAGCTTGGATAAAAGGCAACAAATCTGTAAGGGGGATTTTCGCTAAAATATTTTGTTCTTGAGTTATAACACTTTTTTATTTCATATATAAATATTGGATATTTTTTTGCTGTCCGGTATTATTATCGTTAAAATGAATTTTTTAGGATTGTAAGTATATATTAAATTTTTCATTTATAAATAATTTATAAATATCAAAAATTTAATATGAAAATCAATTAATCATAAGAGCCAACAAAACCAAAACTTTTAAACCAAAGAAAAATGTGCCCGAAGGTACAAAACAACATCAACTTCAAAAGTACGCTGAGGCTACACTTGGTTCAGGAAATTTAAGACTTGCCGTAGTTTTACCCGAAGGTGAAAATCTTGATGAATGGTTGGCCGTAAATAGTAAGATATAAAAATTATTCTTAATCTATGTATTTTCCTTTTTAATGGTCTATTAACATATTATTCTTTAGCCTACGATTTTTTTAATCAAATAAATATGCTTTATGGTACGATCACTGAATTCTGCACACCACAACTATGCCCTATTATGTCGGCTGGCTCAAAGTAATAATTCATTTACTTTCGTGTATTTTAAACGTCTATAGACGCTAAAGATTTTTTATTTAAAGATATGAATATCATTGGTCTGATGGTGAAAAATATAAAAAGCCTACAAAGTTATCTGCTCCAGAATATGTTGATCATCTAATGGAATGGGTGCAGCAACAACTTCATGCTGAAACGATATTTCCAAGTAAAATTGGTAAGATTGTTAATATTTTCAATTACTCTTATGACTTTATTAATTAACACATCTTATTTTACAGGTGACCCGTTTCCAAGCAATTTTCAAACTGTAGTAAAAAATATATTTAAACGATTATTCCGTGTTTATGCACACATTTATTTATCTCATATTTCAGTTATAGAGGCATTGGAAGAAGAAGCTCATTTGAATACAAGTTTTAAACATTATATTTATTTTGTTCAAGAATTTCAATTAATTGAAAAACGCGAATTACAACCTTTGGCTGAATTAATTGCTAGTTTGACTAGTCAAGATTAATTGATTGTCGCAGATCATAATGAAATCGGATTAAAATGAAATTTGGAGTTTCGATTTAACAATCTAAAACCCACTTACACTTATTTACTATAAATTCTATCTTTTAAACCTTACAAAAAAAGCTAAAAAATGCATCTCAAAGTTTTTTGTATTTTTTTTGTTGCTTGTCTATTTTACACTATATAAATTTCATTTAATCTGATTTCACTTTAATCCGTTACATTTATTATGCGAAATGTTTGATTATTATGAAAAGACGGGTGACAAAAGGGCGAAAAGTTGAAATTGTATTATTATATTATATATTTTTGTATTTTTGGGTGTATTATATTTTTACTCTTCTGAACATATTTATTATAAATGTTAGTACAAAGTATTTTATGATTTTTGGAACATAATATTTTGCAGTTAAGCCTTAGTTCTTTTATTGAATTTTGTGTAATCTAAGATTGGCTAGATTATAAAAAATATTTTTATTTAATAGTTTAGTTATAATTTTTTATAAAATTAATATTTTTAGACTAAGGTTGCTGGCCATAAGTAATAATTACGGACATTACGAATTCAATCTGGGTTATAATCCTAATTACAACTAAAACTCGATGTTGTAATATGCTATAATAATTATAATATAAGAAGTTTACATAATAGTACAAATTGTATTTATTATTTGTATTATGTAAAACCGAGAGGAATATGTAAAATCTATAGATGCAGACTTATGATATCACCTAGTCACGTCCTATATAAAAAATCGGTTGATAAAATAAAAATGCAATTGAGTCGTAACTAGTGACGTAAATAAGTCTGCATCTATAGTAAAATCTGTGTTTGCTTATCAAACATGTAAAGCCTAAAATTGATAAACATATTTGTATAAACTTGTATTTTATCTAATTTTTTTTTATATACATCACAATATATGTTTTAATAAAATTTTTAATAAAATTGTTTGAACATCTCAATTTATATAAATATTACTATATTTTATTTTTTTTATTTTATTTTTTTTTTAAACTTGGCTAGGAAAGCCAGCAAAGCCTTTATTAGATATACTTGTAAGTACATACATAATTTTTGAACCATATTACAACCTAATACTAGGCTATGCTAATCCAATCAGCTACTTGACATTTATCTGGCTACTCTTATAGGTGCCTAAACATATCCTAGTTGCATCACCAGCATGCTATGACTGAGGCCAACACTTGCGGTTAGAGTATCTTCCAACTTTGGAGAAGCATTGTTATTAAACCGCTAAGCCAGTGAAGAAGAATCATACCCGTACTGATACTACTCCTGCATCCTGAAACTACTATGTCTAGCTAAACCTATATTCCTTGCTTCTATCACCTTGCTTCTGTACAATTTTCAAATTGGTAACATTCAAGTTATAGATCTTTATGATCTCCTAGTTTGGTATATCATATTATTGTTTTCCCTAAGGTATTCTGATATTGGTCCAAAATTTGCAAAAACTCATATCTCAAGTTAGAAACTGTTATCTAGTTAGGTTCACTACATAACAGTATTGGTATTTCATTGTCAGGTAACCCTTACTACTTATCTGCTTAGGTACTACTAACCTGTATTTCAAACCAGTTTCTGCTATTGCAGCTCAATCACAGATGCCTCAGGTCTTAATATTATACAGTTAGGGACGTGACAAAAATCAGGTGATTTTTTAGAGAGGGAGGGGGTAAAAAAAGTTAAAAAAAAGTTAAAATTATATATAAGAACCTGATTTTTTTTTATATTAAGAAGAGGGAGGGGGTAAGCCTCTGATAAAAAAAAATCAGATAATAAATGACACTGCTTTTACTTGGTGGTTTCTTCAATTCTTCTAAGTACTATCTGCTATGGTAAGTTTAGAACATATTTCACAAGCATCCAAAACAATTCTGGTTATACCCAGAGAGTTCACCGATTCTAGTGATGCTATATTACTATATAATGCTTGCTCCTAGCATGTTGTCATATGATACCAGGACTATTCTAGTTATTTCTAGGGAGTTATATTGACCCCAATGATACTGTACTACTATTTGTTATTGTAAACCCAGAGATTAGTAGATCCTAAACTTGTTTATCATAGACTTTCATATAGGTGTGACTGGAGCCTAATTTAGTATTTTTATATGTACACAAAATGTCAGACAATCTCTATAATCTTCAGTGATGGGTTATGACCAGGTCATAAGCCTGTA